AGATGATCGCTCCTCATTCCTAACAAGTGATAATTACTTATATTAAATATACTTGAAAGAAGTTTATTTTATTAAAATAATTTAAACTATTTGATTAAACAGCATAGTTAGATTGTAACAACTAACAACTGTAGGGCAACTATGGTAACCCTATTTATCATTTCGGAATACAGGTTTTCAAAGATACATAATAAAAATGACATGTGTCATAAGCGTTTTACACACAGCTAAGTATGGTTTTAAAAGTTACTGTAATTGAGGCCTAGTAGTATCCCTACCTCACCAAATGTTTTCTTTGTTTCTGGACTTCCTAGATGAGCACATGATTATGTACCTGCTTCAATCAGATAATAAATACTTTTTACTTGAAAAAAAAAAGGAACTAATGTACACCATATGTGCCTTTTGATTCGCCATTCGCCAATGATACCAAGCTACAAAACAAACGGTAAGTTCCAAGAATGCGTGCCAAATAATGAATTATGAGCGCATATTATTACGTGATTCAAATCTGTTGCCAATCATTATGGCCACTGTTTATATCCTCATTGATTTGAATACGACTATGAGCTTTTTTTTTTTTTTTTGCAAAGTGGAAAAATAAAAGAAACATGCATATTAGAGCAAGACTGAAATACTCATAAAACAAAACCCATGGGGAGTGCAGGCAACCAAAATCAAACTAATAAGAAATCAAAAACTATTTCCTACCAATGATGCTCAACATCTAAAGCTTTATTCAAGGCAATAACATTACCCCGGAAAAAAGTACAAATGACTTCTGAAAAGCATTTCTTCAACAGCAAACCAAAACTATTGATTAGTAAAAAAGAGGCAATTCTACAAAAAAAAAAAAAACAAGAAGGGAAAATGAGACATACTCCTTCGATCATGAATATTAGTCACATTCTAAAAGTATAATTTAGTCTATTTTATAAATCACTAATTGATAGGATTGTTTTATTTTAAATTAAAATTCTCAAGCTATCCTTGAAAAAAAAGAAAGAGAAAGACAGAAAAAATAATAGTATATTATTTGTTTACTTTTTATTTTTTACTTAAAAATTATATTTAAAATTTTACTTACTTTTATTCCTTATACTTTTGATGTATTGATATTGATAATGTTGATAGAAATGATTTATAAATAGAATCAAAGAAAATATAGTTTAGAAGATTCATGCAGCAAGCACATATTATGCACAAGGGAAGGGCAATGCACAACATAGGGAAGGGTGATGCACAATATGTATCTGCCGTCAAGACAGTTAATTTAAATGAGCCAAATGCCATGACTTCAATCTATGAGTAAAGTGAATGCTAAAAATCATCTACCAGCTGGCCTAACACTGTTACTTGTGAATAAAGTACATTGTTGTCAAGTTTCGACAAGAGTTTCAAAGTGATTCCCAATGAGAGAATCAAGGCTCTTCAGGAAGAATTGTAGCAATTCCCCAATGCGTAGCAAAGTAGTTCCTCCAAAATCTAACAAACAACAATTACTTAGGATCGGGCATTGTAATAGAGTCATTACCAAAGGCATGCTGAACAGAGTACAAAATACAGTGCAAGCTTTGTTGTGCCAAAACCTAAATGATCATGTCAATTCATCAATTTACTACATGTAATGTGGCAAAAAAAATAATGAAAAGGATAGTATCTAAAAATCAACAACTCCAACTAATCATGATGGAGCAGAATCAAGACCCATTCGGGCAGAAGCTCTCCCATCAAAAGCTATTGTATATAACTTGGAAGCTAGTACAACTCTGTTGAACCAAACGCTTGTTGGACGTTGGTCTATGTTTCAAGTTTATGAGTGTACTATGCTGTGTTCTATTGTTTCTTCTTATTTTCATGTTTATTGTATGCCTGCATGTTTTGGCCCAATTTTATGTGACTCCCTAGATTAAGTGAACTTTTTATGCAAAAAAAAAAACATAATTTAGGTCCTGAGAATTTATCAGAGTCTAAACATTTAGTATAGGCTTCTTATGATGTGTTCTTTTGTTTCTTCTTATTTTCATGTTTATTGCATGAGTATATGTTCTGGCCCAATTTTATCTAACTCTCTAGATTAATTGAAGTTTTAATTATGTAAAAAAAATGATTTAAGTCTTGAGGACTTATCAAAGTCAAAACATACTTTTAGACTCAAAAAACGTTTACAATATACTTACAAATCACCAACCAACTTCACATCAAACAGCTCATAATCTTTTAAATTATAGATCAAATCCTTATTAACTTGATTGACCTAAGTGAAATTTATTATAAAAAGAAGAATAGAAAAGAAATGCCCCTAATCTAAGATATTAAGGGCTTGTTTGTTTTATGTTTTTTAAAAATATTTTCTATCTTTGAAAACAAGAAATTTAAAAAATTGTTTGGATAAGTGTTTTGAATTTAATAGTTTCCAAAATTATTCTTATTTTTTGTTATTAAGTTGTTTTAATTTTATTTTTTTATTTTCAAAATACACTACATTTTATTATTGGAAATTACCATTAGCTTGACTAATTATTATCATAAGCTACCATTATTTTCTGCCAATGATTGTCATTATTAGTTAATTTTTTAATTCAAAAAATGTTTTTAAATTATCATAATCAAATAAGTTTTTTATTTTATTTAAAAAACAATTCTAAAAAATGTTTTGCAAAACAAATTTTAAATACAAAAATATAGAAAACAACCAAATACTACATTCTAACCCTTCTTGAGTTTTTGCGTGTATTTGCATTAAAAAATTCCCAACTGAAGGTATGAATCAATTGAGATTAAAATAAAAGTATGTAATTGTAACATAATTTATATGTGAATATTTTTTTTAAAGTCAATTGGACAAATTAAAATTTATTTGAATAATTTGATTCAAAAATCAGTTAAAATATATGATAAAAAAATAGACATAAGTTTTCTTGTATATATTTTAATGAAAAATATGAAAGTTAAGTTATAATTAAAAAAAAGGAATTCATATATAATTTACTGTTTGTAAATTATAAAACTCTAAAGTAAATTACAAATTACAAAATATTAAATTATAAAAAACTAAAATAACAATATGTGCACATAGTAAAGAAGTCATTCTAGATCCAACGGTTGGAGTCTAGAAATATAAAAAAAAGGAAAAAATAAAAAATTGAAAACAATTCAAATGCAAAACAGATAAAGAGTTTATTAAGTTCAAAAATATAAACAGCAGAGGCCAAAATTATTCACAAAATACGAATGTCAACATGAGTAGATAAGGGACGCGGTCGCAATTAACAAATGGTAAAAAATGTAAATAGCATTAAATGCTGTTAAGACGTGACCAACTCAATGGTAAAAGTTAGACTCATTAGCTTCTAGTTTAACTGAGGTTTTAGGACAAAAGTTCTTTTCAAAATGTTTTAAACCAAACAAAACATAATGAACTTTTTAAACCCAAACCATAGTTAAAATCCTCCAAACCTAAGTTAGAGTCTTATCCAAACATGCTCCGCTGTACAAAGTGAGTTACTGATCTTTCTTACTGTTTCAATATTGTGTTTTAAATCTTTTAAATATTCCAAGAACGTAACAAGTCCTTGAATAAATATATAAAACTTTTACTCTTCTAACGGAAATAAAACTTTTTCAATAAGAATAAAAATCAAATCCAACAAACGCATAACAAGGCGACACGAAAATCACAATGTGGTTGGATCAGAATAAATCATGAGATCGATATGATAAACCCCATATTGACTAGTGATTTTACAATTCAAGTAAACAATTATTGTTTCTTCTCCTCAATGACACAACAGACAATCAGGAATATTCTCACTTAAAAAATGCATATTGTAGTTCAATATTTGTTGGGATGCACATGAACAATTTATGGCAGATTCAGGCATTATGGGTTTCTAATATGCCTTTTTTTAATATATTTTGTAATGTCTCACTTTTCTAATTCCAATTTGTTTATCTTTAGTTCATTTACTTCTGTGTTAAATAAGAGACACTTTGCAATTTTGAAATTGCATAACAGCAGAATTTTGAATTTTAATTTTATAATCTTTTAAAGAAAAATATTAGAATTATACACTTTTATCTTTGAAAAATCTTTAAAAAATGTAAAACCCTAACGTTTTGGTATTTCAAAAAATCAAAATGTCTTTTGGCCAATTATACAAAGAAAAAAAGTTAGCAGAATATTGTAAAAGATATTTAAAAAGGTACATTAAAAACCAGTAGCTAACTCCAGGTTTACCAATAAGCACATCAAATTATTAAATTTTCCCTCAAGATATAATTGATGTACTGACGAAGATTTGTGTCGATAAAAATATTACGATTATATGAAAGAAGAACAATTAATGATAAAATTTTATTTCGTGAAGGGGGACAAACTTCAGACGTGATCAGATTTTGTCCATCTATGAAACAGTTAGTCTGTTATGCTAAGATCCTGGGATGCCTGGCTTTGGTTCACATTGGTCTTCCTCCATCACTTGATGAATTGCATTCACAAGAATCATCTCATTCTATTTTTAAGGAGAAGCCAATAGACATCATAAATATCATTGTCATTCCGCGACTTCAAAAATCATGTCAATAAACAATTAACTTCTTGTTAGATGAAATTCATAGAGCAAATATGAGAATAATAGTTCGGTTGTCCTCTACAGTGACAGAAATGGGACAATGATAGAGATTGGCCGCTCTCTTAATACCTGGCGAACATGATCCACTCTGATATTGTCTCCCCCAATATATTTAATCAGAAGTCAACAAGCAAATGAAATCAAACTTATATCATCCGGAGAATATGGAGTTTAAAGATAACTTTTTATGTTGAACGTGCACATGTCTTTGTAAGAATTAGCTGAGGCTTCAAATGTTTTAATCAACTATTAATCGACTAATAATACTAATTATTAAAAAAAAAGGAACACACACACACACACACACAATATATATATATAATATAATATAATCACCTCGCCTTGGTCATTGTTCCTCATTGAAAAGTATAAAGTTGCTCTCGCTCCAACAAGATAAGAAGAATGGGAATTCTTGTGACGGAAAAAGTGAAGCTTATTGTGGTGTTACTTGCTCTTCAGTTTTGCCTTGCAGGATTTCATATCGTCTCTAGACTCGCACTGAACATAGGCGTCAGCAAAGTTGTCTACCCTGTATACAGAAACTTACTTGCCCTGCTTTTGTTGAGCCCACTTGCTTATTTCTTGGAAAAGTGAGTTTTCCGGACGAAGCTTGTCTTTCTATGGTTGCCTTTCAGCTTCTTTTGTAGTTGCTGTGTAGATTTTAACGTGGAAAATGTTTGTCTATAATCAGGAGTCAAAGACCGCCTCTTACTTTATCTTTACTGGCTCAATTCTTCCTCTTGGCTTTATTGGGGTGAGCAAATCAATGAGCTGCAGTTCTCCACTCTCTCATTTGCTTCCTACAGTTTCTAATATTTTCTTCTTCCCTTCATGTTTTTCATTGATCATTGCAGGATCACGGCAAACCAAGGTTTTTACCTGCTGGGATTATATTATGCATCTCCAACACTTGCTTCTGCAATGCAAAACTCAGTTCCTGCCATCACTTTTGTGATGGCATCGGCTCTAAGGTATTGGAATATCCAAGTAACCATATCTATCATTTTCAATTTAAATCACTTGATAATCTTATGAACTCTCAATTCTCCGTCAGACTTGAGGATCTCAACGTGACAAGGAGAGATGGATTGGCAAAAGTTGTAGGAACAATTGCGTGCGTAGGGGGTGCCACTATAATTACTCTTTACAAAGGCCGTCCTCTTCTGCACCTGCAGATGCACCAAATAGGAGTAGACCAGGCTTCAAAAAATATGCAAAACTGGACCTGGGGTTGCATATACTTGCTCGGAAATTGCTCATCGTGGGCTGCATGGATGGTTTTTCAGGTCTGGCCATTCCCATGTATATATGCAGAATACACTGATGCTGTCATAACAGTAATGTTTAATCTGGACTCGTTCAATTATCATTTTTTTAACCAGACTTGCAAATCAACAACACCATGCAGGCCCCTGTGTTGAAGAAGTATCCGGCAAAACTAACACTCATATCATTCACATGCTTCTTTGGACTGATACAATTCTTGATAATAGCAGCCTCTGTGGAAACTGCTTGGGAGCATTGGAAGATACAGTCTGCAGAGGAGCTTTTCACTATCCTATATGCTGTAACGCCCATCACTCCTTCAAATTCTTCAAGTGCTGCCATTTTTGAAGTGAAGCTCAATTCACTGATTCTTGATCATTTCAGGCAGTTGTTATATCCGGCATTGTAGTGTCTGTCCAGACATGGTGTATCCAAAAGAGTGGCCCAGTGTTTGTGGCAGTTTTCCAGCCCCTACAAACCTTTCTAGTTGCTGTCATGGCAGCCCTTGTTTTTGGAGATCAGTTATACTCTGGAGGGTATAACTAGTGAAAAGTCTCTCATTTTCCTTTCCTTAAATCACAAAACATCCTAACTGCTTTATTCCTGTTTATTGATATGCAGGGTTGTGGGTGTAATTCTTATAGTGCTCGGTCTCTACTTCGTGCTATGGGGAAAAACCAACGAGAAGAGATTGGCAAACTCAGAGGAAACATCATTAACAAAGCCTTTGCTTAATGGTGAAAGCGGCGTAGTTCCTGAAGACATACCTTGACACATCTATATGTTGACAGCTTGATACTGCAGAGGTCTGCTAAGGATCTGCTAGCAGCATCTCAACTTGTAAAACAGAGTGACTCATCTATTAATTTATTTGAGGAAGTTATTAGGGTCCAAGGCTCTTGCTAAGCTGGCTTACAAGGAACAAGGCCTGCTCATGCATTACAAGTTGATCACAAGCTCCAGTTTGGTCGGTTGGATTTGGAATCACGGAATCAAGAGTCCATGTGCTCTGCGTTACGCAGACATGTACATCTGGAATTTGCTGCTTCAATGATATCTATATTGTAATCACCACTTGTGCGTTTGATCATCCTGCAGTAATTTTTAACCATGTGTTAATTAATTCATGAACAGCATCAATACGCTAATAAGGTAACAAGTCCTTGTTTATTTCATTTTTTTAAAATTTATTTGACATAAACACTAACTAGTGATACGTCACCCTACCATTTTTAAAATACACACTTAATAAAGATGTAAACAGGGAAATAACATTGGATTTTGGTTTCAGTTTAGCGGTTAGTAACGAGAGAGGATACTCAACATTTTCATTCCTCTCCACTTCCTCCCAATTTCTCCTTTTAATCACCATGTGAAATTTCACCGATTCAAATTTAATATTTTATAAAAGTATTATTAAAATAATAAATATTTAGATTTAATATATCAAGATTGACCGTTCAAAATTATATTAGAGAAAAGTGTACAAAATAATTTATAAAAAAAAATCACTTTACATATAGATCAACAAGGAAAATGATATAAATATTTGAATTTAATATTTTAAACATAAATTATTTACCTATCAAACTACGCAAATTATATGAGTATAAAATTTATCTAAATATATTATTTATAAATATTTTTCAACCAACATTGAATTAAAAAAAAAAAACCACGTAACGTTGATCGTGTCCAAATGATGATGAACTGTTTAACTAATCTGCACGCACTTTTCTGGATAAAAGAATAAGAATTGCTTAAACCCCATGGTCGATGAAAGTGGGACCCAACAGGTTAGCAAGAACACACATGGGACGCCCCGTAGGCTGTAGTACCAAATGCTCTGTTATCATCGATAAATGAGAAGTCTGTTTTAATCATAAATAATACTCCCTCTGCTTCGAAATAAATGACGTTACGAGAGTTTTGCTTTCTTTCATAATATTTGACACCATATAATTTCAAGAAAGCATTTGTTAATCTTTTGTCAATTTTGCCTTCTTTTTATTGAAGAAAGAGAACACGTAAATCTTCTATATGCCATTCATGGAACAGTAGAATTAATTAATCGTGTTGTTGGCTCATGACATCAATATTTTTTTAAAAAATTTAATTGTTTTCTCTCACCTTGTTTTTTTTGCAATATATTTTTTTTATGTTTATTATCTTCATTTTGTTAAAAAAAATTAAAACATGTTTGACCATGACTATTGACATTTTGAAATGTTTTTATATTATATTTTAATAATATGATATTTTATATTTATATAATTTTCAATTTATTTTTTAATTTTTTATGGGTAATAAGTTCAGAAATAAAATAAGGTGTTTATATTTGTAACTATGTGCAAAAGTTTAAAAAATTGTAAACAAAAAAACCAAAATTTATTTTTAAAATGATGGCCTTTAAAAAATGCAACATTTATTGTAAAAAGCCTTTTCTACTGATGAGTAGTCAAAGCCTTTGCTTAAAAATTCACAAGTCTTGCACCAAAAAAAAAAAATCATAAGTCATAATGGTGAAATTTAAAACTTTCATGAAAGTAAAAATTTGCCCTTGTGTATTTTGGCAATGGGAGAAACTAGATTTATATTTTATTTATTTTTTGTGTTATATAAAAACATATAGACACGATGAATGAATGTTTGCTCTCGCTTTTAGCTTTATATTGTTTGACCTTCATTAGTTTATTTTAAATTAGTTTCATATAAAATGATGTACTTTAAGCAATTATTAATTGTGCATTAGGTAATTATTTTCCTTTCATATAGATCTCATCATATTTTCTATCATTTCTGCATCAATGGAGTAATTGAATTTGACCTAAGTTGATTCAGAGACTAATTATTATTTAGGTTATAAATTCACGGTCATCCACTCAAATATTTTTTCTAATTATTGTTTGGAATATTAATACAATAATATGCCAATCGATTCTATTTTTTAGAGTTTTCTAATTGCAAATTTGTTTTGCCTTCCACGGGCGAAGTGGCCATGTTCGTGTTAGATAAAATTTAACCCAACCCAATAAATATATGGCTAAAAGTTACTTGTTTTGTTGATTTGTTGCAAAGTTTTTTTTTTTTCAGCTATGAACAATAATCAATTCTTTTTTTTAACTGTGCATTTCTTTCTTTTTTCTTGTTTGTATACGAGTGTCCTCTCATGGAGACAATCATATTCAAGACATAATTAAACACTAAATATAATCACCTCCTCTATAAAATTCAAACCTTAATCGTTATGTTATGAGGGACTAATTCATTTTGCTTTTCTATATTAAAAAGATAATTATTAAAGAGTTTGATATAAAATTGTTTAAATAATTTTAATGACATAAAAGATGGAAGGTTAAGCTTTCTTTATCCAAAAATAAAAGCCAACCTTTTACACATCATCATGTAATTTAAAATATTTTAATTAAATATTTAAATGATCTATTATTTTTGACTAAACATTTGACCTTTTAGAATATGAAGCATGTTCTACTCCTAACGAGAGTCACATTCTATTAAGTATAAACGAGCATTTACTTCCTATGCGATGCACAGGAAGTGGTATGATATGAGAGTATGAAACAAAACATATTGTAAAAATTTTGCAAGTCTCTTATATATGTTAGCATTGAAAATGGCATAAAAAAGCAACAAGAAATAATTGCATATGATAGATGAGGAGAAATTTGTGCTAGGATAAGCAATGAAAAATATCAAGGTACAGATCAAGGATTCATCTTTGATCCAAATCATGAAATATCTCTCTACACACAACATTTGATGTTGTAGTCTTCAGCAAGTTATCGTTGTCATGTACTAAAATCTTCAATCCTTAAATATTTTTTAACTCTAGAAATAGCAACATATAAGTGCCAATGTGTGAGTACTGATTTAGGCAAGTATAGTCCTACGTGTTGAAGAGATTATCTTTGACTCTTGTGAACAAATAAAAGACTAATAGAAAATTGTGTTCTTTGCATCTGAAATAGTCACCTACTCATAAAAAGGATTCATATTCACCATATGAATAAGTACTTTCTCATTGGGCTACGACCTAGTCAATATTATTGCTTCAATAATACTTGCCCCAAATTTGGTGATCCTTAACTTATTACTATTACATAAACCCAATGCTTGGTCAATGTTTTTAGGAAGCATTTTTGGTGCACCAACTTTTAAGGTCAACTTGTAAAGGTAACTCTAAGCTTGTAATTGAATTTGAAAATTCAATAGAGTAGAAGTCAACAAATCTATCTACGTTGTGTTGACTTACATATTGTATCACAATTGAAGAATTCATTTGATTCTTCAAGCAACAAAAAGCATATATGATCATTCACATTATTGACTATTTCAATTGTAAGTGCAAGTATTGCTCTCTCATTGAAGTAATTGTTGTTTGATAAATTATCCAATAAATTCACACACATTGCATTTACAATCTTCTACAACAGTTCTATATATTCAGTTATTAGCAGTTCATGTAGAATTTCAGTTTCAACTATGTTGTCAATTGACAAACCTAAATCTCCATCATTGACATCTAATAACCATTTTAAAAAATTTCTTAACTTGATGTCATCTATTTGCATCAAACCTAGATGCCATCTCAAGTTTTTTTAGAGATAATTTTTTTTGCAATAATGCCATAAATGGGAAAAACTTATACAAGCATTTACAATACTTGCTTGTGTACCAAAACAGCAAGTGTGGGGGGGGGGGAACTTTATAGTATATCTATATTAAGTTATTTAAATTTTTTATTATTAATTAAAAATAATTTTATAATATAATTGATAAAATTTTAGAAACAATAAATCATTTCATCTATATGATTATTAATATATTAACATTGAAAATTTTCAATAATCAATTTTTCCAAAAATTCAGAAAAATAGTTTTGCAAAGAATATATTAAAAAAGAAAAACTTGATTATAAAAAGAAGGAAAAGCTTATATATTTAACATGCTTATTTTTAATTAAATAAATACATGTATAATTTTTATAGATTATTTATTACACAACAATCTCATGTCGTTAACATTATTAATATATTTAAGTCTACTTATTTTGATTTAATTGAATAAAAGTATATTAAATCTATAAAATTAAATACTTATATTTTGTCGTATAAAAAATTCACACTTTCATCATTTAGAAAAATGGTTGACAGTAAAAATTAAAAATAATTAATAATATATTTATATTTTTATCTATTATTATCTGTAAAAAGAGATAAATAAGAGTGATTGATGGTGAAGTAGAGATTTGTTATTTGAGTAAAAAGACAACCCGTGCAGATGTAAAAAATGAGGAATGCACAGTGAAAAATTTAAGCTAAAAGTCAACTGAAAAATTGAGAGGTCAAAGAAGTAATTTCCCCCTTAAAAAGTCATACCCCATTAACATAGTTAAAAAAAAATTAAGGGGGCTGTCCAAGGATATTTTCTAGTTAAGAAGTAAAAGAAAATAAGAAAGATGGTAAGTACTACCTTTTTTTCTTTTTACATTTCCTCAATCCCATGAATTTGTCCTTTGGCATTTTATAGTTAAAAGACACCTTTTTTTTTTGCCAACTAGTTAAAAGACATTGAAGATTAAATTTAAAGCTATTTAGTAACTTTCTTGATTTATGTACTCCAAAATGACATTTGTTTCAAAACGCATGAAGATTTATATAAATGATTGCTCATTAGCGAACGCCATGTTAGCTTCTATCTTATTTATTCTAATTTATAAGATATTTTTAAATAAATTTAATGTCCCAAAATATAAGGTACTTTATTAAAACTAAATTTTGATTAATGATTTTTTTCAATTTCATCCCTTCTGTTATACACTCTCTTTTTTTGATATTCTTTTATAAATAGAATATTAAATAAAAGATATTTTTGAAAGTTTAAATTTTGGATTTGAAAAAATAATATTATAAAGTGTATTTAGTGAATTTTATTAGTATGCATAATTCTGTTTAAAAATATCTTATAAATTAAGATGAATATAGTATTTATTTAAAGTAAAAATTATTGGTTAGAGTCAAGTTTAATAATTATGGCTCATTAGTGAATGCCTCATTGGCTTGAATTGATTTAAAGTAAGAGTTAAAGCTCTACTTTCTTGCAATCCATAAAATTTTAAAAAA